AGAGATTAGATACAATTCTAAAAATAGCATTGCATTGCAATAGAACTAATGTACTGTATTAGTATTACAGGCTTAGAGCATTAACTAACTTACAGACTACAATGTTTGCAAAACGATTCAACGGTTTATTGCTTGGACTAAGACCAACTGTCGCTGTGTGGTCACTCTCACCACTGTCTAACATCTATTAACAGAAATAACATAGAATAACATATGAGGCAAAAAGAGTGAATGAGATACTTCTTACCATAAACTGATTTCTAAATCCCTCATTTCCTTTAGCGTGTCCATTAGCAACAAATTCTCCAAATTGTTCCACAGGTATTAAGTTTTTACCACTTTTACCAGCTGAGGTGTCATTACTTGGCATCCTGGCCTCTTCTACTGCAACTGTGAGTACAACTTGTTGATTAACTGTTCCAGCATCATTATTAGCAACAAAACGATATGTTCCTTTATGCTTCTCTTCAACACTCACTAGCAGTAGACTACCATCTCCTCTCAGCTCATGAGCATAATCATCAGTCACTGGCTCTCCATTATGATACCAATTAAAAGATGGAGTAGGAGTTCCCTTGAATTTAACTTTCAAAAGAACCTCACGTCCTTCCTCACTTGTCACATCATTAGGGAATTCTTCTATCACTGGGAGTATAGGCTCCATTACTGTACTGTAGGTTGCCTCTTGAATTCTTTCTACTGTAATAAAGAAACAAGACAATAAGGTAGCTGTTCATGCTATGTAATCATACAGTGATACATTCATTATAGTTGATTACAAAATTTCATTGGCACATACATCCAATTTCTTCATATCCTCCATTATTAATATTAGATGCACTATAAGTTGTTAAGTTATGCTCTGCAGTTACTGGTTTATCATTTAAGTTGTTTCTAGTAACTAAGTCATGATTTTTCTTAAATCTCTTCTTCCTGTTATCATAATTATTAAGAGTACATAATTATTTAATGCATTCAATCAAGCTTTTACTTTAATACAACTACAGAGATAATAATTATTATTAGGATTATCAGCAGCGATGATACAATTATCCCAACTGTTATGAAAACAGTCACCAAACCTATACAAGATTACTTATAAAATCAATTGATAGATCTACATGTATATAGATTATAGATATTAGTCATATTGGCATACTTGATGATTGAGCGGTTAATTGTATTTCTTGTCTAGCTGGTCCATTCATATTATAATTATAAGGTATTATACTCACAGTATAGTTAGTATATGGTATTAATCCTCTGAGATTATACATTCTGTTGTCTCCTCCAGTAATATTAACAGTATAACTAGTGTTTGAAGTGATGTTAGTGTATGTGAGGTAGTATCCAGTGATTGGTCCATTCCTTCCATTGCAAGGTACTTCATCCCATGAGACAGTCATTGACACTGACTCTACTGATGAGAATATAATATCACCCACTGGTGCAGTAGGAGCTATAAAGAAATAATAATGAAAAAATTAATAATTGTTTACTTACCAGTTGAAAGTGTAGTAGCTAAATAATTAGTCCTTAAAAAAGCTATCATAGCTCCATATACTCCGATAAGATCAAAGCCACATTGACTGTAAGGAGATATACCAGTTGAAGTATGTGGTGATGAAACTGATGTTTCACTACTACCAGTTGTTGATGATTCACATACTCTCCTACAATCCCTAACAATATTATAACTAATTGGTACTACAGCAGTTGGTGGACTCCATGTTAATGTAATGGCAGCACTTGTAATCAATGTAGTCATGAAATCACTAACCACTGGATCACCTAAAGCAAACAATTACTGACAATTTAATGATTTGATATCTTACTAATTGTTAACATAACTGAAGCATTACCACTAGGTAGAGAAGCTGATCCATAAGATACTACATAGAAAGTGTATGCATTCCCTTGAATCAATCCTGATGTTATATTGATTGATGTTAAACTAGTGTTGGATACACTAACAGGAGTATTACTAGACAGTTGATAGTAGTAGACCTCATAACCAGTAGCTCCTGATACAGTAGACCAAGAGAGTCTTACATGAGCCACACCAGTATTTAATCTTGTAGCAGTTAAACCAGTTGGAGTATCAGATACTGAAATATATAAATAATGGTAGCTATTAATAAGGAATAATGATACAAACCTGATAAGCTCAATGATGTTCTACTACTTAAAGCCTGAACATTCCCAATACGACCATTCTTACCATCAGTTACTCTGTTATTGAATACATTACACTGATAGTTACCAGCTTCTCTTAAGTTTGCTACTGTCACTCTTGTAACAGATATTTGTCCATTAACTATCATACGAGACAGTTCATTGGATATTCCATTCCCATTCACTGAACAATGGATAGTAGTAGGAGGACCATCAGAGACATTGAAACTGAGACTGAAGACTAGAGGAGTAGCTAATCTACTAGTGGAGAGGAGAGAGAACTGCATAGTAGGATCAGCATCAGGACCATCTGTGAATATAAAGTCATGCATCAGTTAATTCTATATCTTCATTACATACGTACTGCTGCTGTTGTATTTATAGTCAGTATATGCTCCAACCACTAGTGTTTGATTCACTCCATTCTCATCAGGAATGATACACTTGTATAAACCTTCATATCCTGATAGTCCATCTCTTCTAGCTAGTGCAATCTGACCACTGAATCTCTTACTGTACATTGGACTAGGAGCTGATAAATCATTAAAGGGCCCTTCAAAAAGAGGTACTTCAGTTCCATTAGGATAATACCATGCTCCAATAGTAGAACTAGTGTTAGCACTCTGACACCACAAAGCATCATTGATATTCTCAACATCATTATTCTCATCTTGATCATAAAACTGGCTAGCATATATCATAGAGTAATCAGGTATTGGCCTGTCTTCATAAGGTAGATACAGTCGAACACCTATACATGTGTTTATAGCATCATTTATCTACTAACACTATTTATGCTTACCTTGACTAGGTCGTATATTAGAAGGTGGTGCTTGTCCTTCTCCTACATGAACTAGTGAGATTACAAGATACCACACAAAAGTATCATAATACAACCTCAAGCTCTTCATTTTGTAGGTCTTACTGATATGATGCGATCGCTATGCAATAATGTTGCTTTTATTATTTTGTACATTACCACACCCTACATTGTCACTAAAACAACATACTTCCATATAATTTACTCATTTCTTTTATCTATAAAACCCACTTAACATTCTAAAATATACAAATTAATACTGATCACAAAGTAAACCAAAATAACTATATTAATAGCATTATTATATACTTCTACTTAGTGAAATTTGAATATGTCTCAAATGAATCCAAATATGTCAGTACAATCTGAAATATCCCTTGATATTGTTGCTAAAAATAAAAAAACAATTTTACTTTATTAGAAAATACCATACAAAAAGCACACAAAAACACAATTTTAAAACTATTTTATTGAGGTAGAAAATATTACATAAATCATTTATACTTACAACAGTCTGTACACTGCCTGGTTTTTGAATACGTTGACTTTTGAGTACTTGAAATACATCAATGACTCCTTCAGTTTTACATTTATTAATTGTTGTAGCAGCTGCACAAAATATTGCTGAACGACCAACTGTATCACTATAAAGAAAGAAATTAAAATTAACATTTAAATCACATTTCTTTCTCACCTGCAGTGTACTACAATGCTTGTATTTCCTCTCTTCCTTTGTGTTTTGTACATTTCTTCTATTATCATTAAAATAGTCTGAGGATTCTTCACTTCTCCAGTTGAATCCCAGTTTGTTACCTGAAACTGTGTTACACTTTGCTTAGCACCAGTCTAAACAAATCAAATGAAACTATACTTGCATGTATGCTATCTTACATTAGTATTTTTAACTTCAAATTTCCTTTCAATGTATCTATTACTTGTGTTTTCCTTGAGTAGAGTAATATTGTATTCTCCCAGTATTATTCCACTTGATGTTGAAGGCCAGTATTGATAGCAAACTTCCTACAATAAAATAATAAATCCCAATTTCTTCATTAATAGTCATTATTGTTACTAGATCATTTTCCTTTTCTTGGCATAGCATTACAATAGCAGTCACATTTCTATCATCAATCATCTTCCAGAAGTTTCTAGCTGTAT